TCCTCCCCGTCGCGCGGTGTCCCCGTTTTTGAAAGCCCGCCCGCCTCTGAGGCCCTAACCCTAGCGGCTCCCTCCCACCAGCGATCCCCTTTCTGCCCTTTCGCGGCCCTGGACCAGCAACCCAGGCCTCCGGGAACGGAGCTGCCCACCGGTCGGGGTGTGGACCTGGGTGTGGCCGTCATTCTGCAGTCCAGCGACCAGACCGTCTTGTTGACCCGAAGGACACGCACCCTCCGCGTTTCCCCTAACCTCTGGGTGCCTCCAGGTGAGCGCCCTGAAGACTTGGCCCCAAGTCCAGGTGAAAAACGTGCCCTTCATGGAACAACGCTATTCCCAGTCTCAGGACAGGGAAATAGGCCCGGAAATGTGGCCTGTGGCCTAATCACAAGACGCTGCAACTGCATCTGCGCCCCCCAGAGGGAGCAGTGTAAACAGTGAGGGGGACCTTTCAGGACCACCAGCATCCTACTGGGCCCACTCTTGTTGCAGGTGGGCACGTGGAACTTGAAGAGGTAACCAGTCAACTGACCCAACCTGCACCCCTCCTTGAACCCAGAGGCCCAGCGGGAGCACCCTGGGTGTGGGCGGGGCAGACTTGGCCTCTGACCCGCCCTCCCTCACTGCCAGCTGTTGGATGGAGGGCTTCGAGAGCTGCGGGAGGAGAGCGGAATACAGCTGCCCGCCGGCCAGTTCTCTTGGGTCCCTCTGGGGTTATGGGAGGTGAGACAGAGACCTGGGAGAGGCCCCTCCCTATCTAAACAAGAACAAATTCTAACCCCCTGAAGCCCATAGAACAGCCCTACCCGCCCTGGCTGCGGGGAAAACAATGGAGAGTGGGGTGGGTGGTTTGCAGTCCAGTCCCCGATCCTCACCTGTGTCCCTCCGGCGCCACCTCCACCCTGTTCTTCCTCAGCCATATTTACAGTCTCAAAAAAAGACAGGAAGTTCTCACTTTTGCTGTTTTCTTCTCAGTCTGCCTATCCTCCTAGGCTGAGCTGGGGTCTCCCCAAATACCATCACATCATTCTCTACATACTTGTGATCTCACAGGAGTCAGAGCAGCAGCTGCAGGTAAGGCTGGCAGCGGAGGAAGGAAACGGGGCTCAGGAGGCCCAAGCAGAATGGTGCTTCTGACTGTGACCAAGGTGGGGGAGGGGGCGAGTTGGCGATAACCAAGAAATCCAGTAGCCTCTCCCCCTGCCCCAAGTTCCTCTCCATGCCACCTGTGGGTAAGGCTGTGACCAGGCCCCCCAGGAGAGGCCATGATGGGGGGATCAACATATCTGGCCCCAGGCCCGGATCCAACCAAACCCAAGTGAGGTGAGCGCCTTTATGTGGCTGGGAGCAGATGTAGCAGCTGCAGTGGCTGCTACAGAGGACGGGACAGAGTCACCCAGACTTCTCTCCCAGGAACTGCCACCCTCCGTCCTGTAAGTACGAGCTCCCTGACCTTCCCACACGACACACACTGACAAGTTCAGTTTCTGTCTCCTCCGGGGGGAATTCTAGGTGGTGGGAGAGATTTAGGGGGTGAGTTGGTCAACTGATAATGGAGAGAAAATGAGATCAACGACACGGCCCATCAAACTCCGGCTCTGACTGGCTGGCACTGAAGACCTAGGTTTGCGTCCCCCTCTCCCATTGGGACAAGTCATTTAACCCTCTTTGAAATGTTTGTTTCTGTTAAGTGAGGTTAACACCCGCCCAGCCCTGTGATACTCGGGTGGGTAAGATGACAATGGACATGGAAGTGGGCCAAGCCACTGGCACAGCCCAGACAGCTGTCATTATGCAGTGCAATGGAACTAGAGGACGGAGTAGCTCGACCTCTGGCCTTGCCCATGTCCACACTGCTGCGGACGACCCCAGCCACCACAGAGGACACAGAGAGAGTCAGCACGGGGACCAAGTTCGCCCTCGGGCTCTGGCTGCAGCATCTGGGCAGGCAAAGGTGAGGGCTGGGGGATGCTTGGTGGGCGTGTGGCAGAGGGAAGGAGGAAATCCCCAGTGTGACACCCCCCTCCTTGTAAAAGTGGAGCTCACGTGGACCCGGGGTGTGCCAAGGAAGCGCAGAACACGGACCCCTGACCCACAGACCAGGGATCCAGAAAGCCAAGTGCGTGATCCCCTCCCCAGCCCACCTCCGTGACACTCACAGAACATTCACAACCTTTATTATGGGTAAGAACTTTGCTACAACTTTGGGAATAAAAAGTAAAATTACAACAGAGGTCCTAGGCCCTGGAGGAGCCTGAAAAAGGCGCGTGAGGAGAGCGCGAGGGCCCTCCCACCTCCCGGGAAAGGTGCAGGATGAGCCAGACCTACCAGGGGCAGATGCTCTGGCCCCAGGCTGCTTGGCTAAGAAACATCATGAACTTAAATATATAAATAGAGGCCCAGGCGGCAGGCCCCGCTCCCAAAGCCCTGGGGATCGGGGCTAAGGCCTGTCGCCTCCTCAGTCATACTGGGAAGCAGGAGGTGGGGGAAGTCATCTTTGGACGTGTTTTGGTTTTTCCTGTTTATGTACAAAAATCTGCAACCCAAAATAGAGTTCTCTATCCACGTGTCTGCCTGTCTCAGTTTCTCCACCTTTCTGTTTGGCCAAAGAGGACGGAATGGACATGAAGAGACAGCGGCTGTGGGGAAGGAGCTGAGCCGTGGGTTTGGGGGATGGAAAGAGAGGGCATGTGGGGGACACCCGAAGGGCCTCTTCCCCATGAGGCTCTAGACAGTCAAGGCCGAGGATTCACCTCACACTGCACCCCATCTGCCCCCCACTGCCTAGGTTAGCAGACCCAAAGGACTGCCCACCATCTACAGAACAGTTCCGAAAACAGTTCCAAATGTCCTTAAAAAGAGGTTAAATATTAATCCTTCGGGTGCTGGCTTTGTCAGGCAGACATGAGGCCAAAAACAAGTGTCCATGAAGGTCTTTCTGGCCTTTGGCCAAACCCCCGAGGGGTGACAGTGGCCAGGGGTCTGGACTCCATAGCACTGGGGGACAGTGAAGCTTCCGTAATGCAGGGGACTCAGTCCAGGGAAATGATGTCTGACCGGCAGCCAGCCAAAGAGGGACCGCAGGGCA